ATTGAGGAGGGCACGTTCTGCATGTTGCACTGGGTGTTATGCACAAACAATGAATCATGGAACACTACATCAGAAACTAATGATGTAATGTATGGTGATTAACATAACATAAAAAAAAAAACAACTGACTCCATTGCCGAAAGGGAACAATATGTATATCCTAGCTTTCTCTGTTAGTCTGAGTTGCACTGACAATGCTTATATTTCATAGGGGCTTAGCATCATTATTTAGGAGAGTTTCTTTGCTGTAGTGAGATAGAATCTTAATTGAAAGGAAGCCTGATTTGCTCAGAGTCTTTATAGTTAAGTGCCTATTGTTGACATAGAACGCAAGAACTCAGTGTACTTTAGAGAAGAGCTAGTTCAAAAATTTTTTAAAACTGATAATCAGTGTCCAATAAGAAACAAATGGCACACAGGTATAAATGAAGACAGTTTAATAAAGAGACTATTTACAGAGATGCGAGTAGGGTCAGGGGAACCAACTAGGAAGAGTTCCCTTGTGAAACCAGAAGCTATCATACTTTAGGAGCTATGACTGTAGAGTAATGTTGCCAGAGATGCAGTGAGGCAGTGAAAGAGGGAAGTGGGTAGGAATGGCAGTGAGTGGGAATGGGCAAGGGGAGTTGTCCATAGAGGTCAGTCTTCTGGGGTACAGAGAAGTGTGAGAATGGAGGGGCAGAAAGGCAAACAGAGAATAACCAGCCTATCTGATAAGAAAGATAAGTCCCACAAGAGATCGGTGACTAATCTCTCCCAATTGATGAGTAATTCCCTTCCAGTTAATATGTACATCCAGTAGTCCCTGTTAAATTGCAGATATTAATTACTGCAAATGAGATATGGTAAGTAGATACGGGATTTGTTAACTTATTAATAAATGAAATGTTATATGTCTGAAACCACTAAAACAAGATGGCTAGTCACCCAGAAATTCTGGAAGACCGAAATTATAAATGAGAAGGAAACTGGCAGAAGAGAATATGGTGTAATAAAAAGACCTATGAAATAGAAAAGGCTAGAGACTTCTGGTTTCAAGATGCCAGAACAAAGAACCTATCTACTTTTTCTTTCCCCAACCCTCACTTGTTTCTTTTCTCAAAAAAACCATCCCCAAACAATAGGGAAAGCAAGAAAATGGAGGCATAGGTTTCATCTTTAGTAAATCAAGGAGACATAAATAACCCGAAACGACAAGATACAAAGATGGAAAATATGTGGAAGGATGGTGCATGACTTAGCAGAGTAAAGAAAGGTCAGAGCCAAGTGCTGTGGAAGGAAGTACAGATGGAAGGCAAGTTGATTCACAGCTGTCTGGAAAGGCTTAGGAATTAGAGGCACCCAGTACCATAGAAAGTAGGGTGACATGGTGGGTGGGAATCTATTTGAAAGCTTTTATGAGGAGAAGATAGACCTTCAGAGCCTACTCTTAACCCCCTAAGCAAGGAGACCATTTCCCCCCACTTTTGCAGGAATCTCTGGAGAAACAATCAGAGATAGTCTGGCAACACTGAGCACTGAG